AACCGGCGACCTTCTTGCTGCGAGGCAACAGTGCTACCAACTGCGCCACCTTGCAGCCCTAAAGGATATATACATTCGGTAAAACATTTAAAGAAGTGACCAAAGCTGTGCAATTACACTGGGTCGACTTTTTGCATTGTGTCACCATGGAAACATACATGCATCTAGTCAGTGATGCAGAAAATGCATAAACATGATTTTATATTTGGTCCTGATTTGCTGTCACATCTGTTTTACACTGCTGGCAGTGCAGCTGATTGGACAAATTAGAACATGTATTCGTCTATTGGTGCTTCTGACAGAGAATATTTAAGCTATACATTATTTTCAATTTGATTTGGCCAAAACTAAAACGATTCCAACATATCTTTGTTTAAATGATCCATGTTTAACTGTCTGAAGTTTTAGGCTTCTATCTCTAATGTCCAACGACTGCACTGAGAGTCACTGAGTGGCAAAATACATATATTAACTTAATACATTAACAGTTTTCTTCTCCTGCATCATTTGCATTAGCAGCACTTTCTACCATAATATTTTTTTTTTACGTTCCTCATAGCTCTTGATTATAACAACCCTCTTGTCCCTCTTGACTGAAGTAGGTGCCATCAGTGCAAAAGAAGAGTCAAATGATGCTTTAAATGGCCCTTTTATTGGAGCGTGCATGGACTCTGATGAAGAAAATCTGGGTCATCCAAGGACTATGATAACCATCTATGTGATACCCACTGTCACTGCTGCTTTAGGTTTTTTTAAACCAGATAACACAAAAAAAGCCTGACTTTGTTGAGCTTGCTTGATGCTACAGCCCTCAGGTGCTTATCTGTGCCCTTAAAACAAGCAGAAGGTCCATTTTTGTTGACTGGCCTGTTGATTAAGTCCATTTAAGAACACAGTGAGCAACATCAGCTGCAGCAGTGGCTTATGGAGGCTGTTTAGGTGCTCGAAAACCCCAAAATGTCCTACTTTCATAGCGTGCATCAGATTTGTAACACAGTCCATATACATCATGCACATTTTTTTTTTTTCTTTTTGGCTCAGTGGAACCTAAAGTTTGCAGAAGCTTAATTATGTCCAGTGTCCATCACAGATTAGCGTTCATGAGTAGAAATCATTAAAAAAATCCTTCTAAATCCACTGCTTACTTGAGAGTCATCACGTCATGGTTGTCGGTGTAATCATGGAAACAGCAGCACCTAATTCTGCATACTTTTAATCGTGCAAGTTTGCCAAAAATATGAATCAAAAATAATATTTATTTTTAAAAACGCATTGTTGAGAGTATATATATATATGTTTGTAGGAAGAACTAAGATGCAGAATGTTAGCTTTAAGTCTCTTTGCAGACTATTTTTGATTAAATAGAAGCTGCACCCGTCCAGACCCTCACAACCGGGAAGGTGAAGTCAGTAGAAAATGCTTTAAGGGACTTCGGCGTCTAGATTTTTGAAACTGAGTGGATGTTTAGTTTCTGTTAGCAGGGGACACATCCTGTTTGTAATCGGAGACAGCTGGTGTTATTCATCCACCCACATGTCCGCCCGTTTGCTCTCCGCTTACAAAGGAATCAGATGCTGGCGTCTTTTCTCTCAGCACCGAGGAGGCTTCGCGAGTAACAACCGTTGGCCTGATTGTTTCGTGGAGGCGCCGTAAAATGCGGCCCGTAGAATCAGCGCCTATGCAAGCGAGGACCCATCACAGTGGAGGGAGGAGGAGGAAGGGAGAGATGAACTCAGATGATGGACTTTAGATTGAAACGCAGCATTTACTGACCGAGCTGCGCCTCCATTCATCATTCATCGGTCAGATATCCGAGGCCTCATTTCTTGCACAAATTGGGTGCAATTTCAGAACCTTTCATTTATTTAAACCCAGCATAATCAAATGAAAGATTGAAAGAGCTTGTGGAATTTTGAAAGAATCAAAAGCCGTGCAGCTAATTTGCCTCGAACGTTGGTTGTCTGTGCCGCAGAAGGAGCATCCGTTGACTTCTAAGTCGCTGTCAGAAGGCAAAAGTTAAAATAAATTCATTACAGCGCTCCAGTTGTTGCAGCCCTTGTGCTACACGGGGAGGAAGTGCTTTACCGTCCCTTTCATGCACTCTCCCAGCTGGCCCAATAACACTTTCCCCCGGTAGTTTCATAAGTAAACCTTCACACAACAATGCAAAAATCTACTCTGAAAGCTTCGCCGACAGAGAACAGAGCTCGCAGGAGATGCAGAACTTGGCCGTCTCGCAGAGAAAGCATGGAGAGATATTCTGGCTGGCTCGCAGATGGATGTGGGCTAAGCCTCCTAAACTGCTGCTGCTGGCACCGAGCGGAGGTAGACTGGGAAATACCTGCTGGAGAGCTCACTGACTCGCCTTTTGTCTGGAGTTGAGGCCGTGCCAAGACTCTCCGGGACAGAGTCTGGTCCGTGTAAATGCATTTGGCAAAGTGTCTCAAAGTCACAGGAAAAGCGGTCACATTTTTAACTTACTGGATATATAGGATCCATACGAGCCAATCACATTAGACCTTATTGAATCCACAACTCCTGGCAGCCAATCGTATTACATTTTATTGGATATAGAACCACCAGCACCCCAATCATATCAAAACTTATTTAAGTATGAATGCATAATCCTGACAGCCAATCGTATTATAACTTATTGGATACAGCAGCAGGCCAAGCCAATCTTATTACCACTTATTGGGGTGTGAATAAAGAATCACCGGCTTGGCAGTGAGTGATATCGTATTGTGCTGGACGGGGACCGTGCAAAATGAATGGCAGTCAATTATACTGCGTCTTATTGGATATAGTGTAGCCAGCAGGACAGGAATACAATTACAGGTGAGGGAGA